AAAGAAAGAAAGAAAGAAAGAAAGAAAGAAAGAAAGAAAGAAAGAAAGATTGATTTATTTATTTGAGGGACAGAGAGAGTGCAAGACACAGTGTGTGTGCTCCTGCACACAAGTGGGGGGAGGGGCAGAGGGGAAGAATCTTCAAGCAGACTCCCTGCGGAGCACAGACCCAGACCCATGAGATCATGACCTGAGCTGAAACCAAGAGTCAGATGCCTAACTGAACCACCGAGATGCCCCCAAGAAAATCCAGCATATTAAACACAGCATTGTCTTTCCGCCCATCTGTCCATCCACTCATCCGTCAGCATACGTAAAAGCAGGCATATAATTCCATTCATCCAGCATCCTCTCCAAGCCCCATGTGTGTCTGAGCCCTCGTGTGATTGATTAGCTCTGATGGATGGGCTGTGTCCTCCGTCTGAGTCATGAGGACTTCTCAGTCCCAGGGGGCTGGGACACAGATGGATAAGCCTGTAGGAGGGTGCTGGGGGTTTCTGCCTTCACCCGCTTTCTTAGGTAGTCTGAAGCTGGTCCAGGAAGGAACCCCCAGAGAGTCTTCCCTAGGCAGTGCCAGGGTGGCCCCTAGAGGCCCTCCCTGTGAACATGCCTTCTCCGGGCAGCTAGTGGGCCTCGGGGCCATGCGCCCTCCCCCACTGCAGCTGGTGCCTCTGTGTTGCAGACTCCTTGGGAGGGGGCTCCGAGGGCCCGTGTTTCTGCCCTACTCCCTGCAACCTGACTCGCTACGGGAAAGAAATCTCAATGGTCAGGATCCCCAACAGGGGCTCAGCCCGGTACCTGGCGAGGAAGTACAACCGCAATGAGACCTACATCCGGTATGTGTGCGCGTGCGTGTTGTGCATGCGTGCGCGCGTGCGTGGTGGAGGCACAGGCCCGGAGCGTGGTGCACACTGGGAGTGGGCTGCGTCTTTCTTACTAACGAGGCTTCTGAGCGGATTCCTCTCACAGTCCTTTTCCTCTAATTAATCCCTACCCATCCTCCAAGTCACATCCTGTGTCTGCACCGCCAAGGAGGTACCTTTCTTTTTAAAATAAAGATTATTATTTATTTGAGAGAGAGTGTGTATGAGTACAGGGAAGGGGAGAGGGTGAAGCCGGCTCCAGGCTGAGCACAGAGCCTGACGTGGGGCTCCATTGCTGGACCCTGAGATCGTGACCTGAGCCGAAGACAGCCCTTAACCGACTGAGCCACCCAGGCACCTCCAGGGAGGCCCCCCCACCTTTTTTAAAAAAGATTTTATTTATTTATTTGAGAGAGAGTGAGAGACCATGAGAGGGGAGGTCAGAGGGAGAAGCAGACTCCCCATGGAGCTGGGAGCCTGATGTGGGACTCAATCTCAGGACTCCAGGATCATGACCTGGGCTAAAGGTAGTCTCTTAACCAACTGAGCCACCCAGTAAGGCCCTTCTTGATCCAAATGCCTTTCCTCTGAGCTCCGAAGCAGCCTGTACCTCTCTCTCTCTCTCTCTCTCTCTCTCTCTCTCATTGCACCCACCTGTTGCTTTCCCATCCACTGCTGTGTCTTTCTCCCCCAGCAACCCGGGTGCCATTAAATGCACACTGAGGGAATGCTGCCCCAAGGGAAAGGGACCAGGTGGCCAGCCAGCAGGAGAGGACTCACTGAGCCTTGGGTCTGGTCCCCTGCAGCCAATCTACAAATGCTGAGCCTCCTGTGGGTGCCCGGGCACCACGGTGTGGGTCCTGTGGGGACAGAGATGATTACACCACAAAGCTCCAGAAACAGTGTGTGTACCGCCACAGTGTACCCATGTGTGGTACCGACCGTCAGGCCTCCCCTGAGATTACCAGGCAGGGCAGATGATGAAGCTGGGGGAGGCATGAGCCCAGCCTCTGAGGACACTGGGTGTGTAAGAGGAGACGGGGGAGGCCTCCCGACTAGAGAAGTATGGGATCGTATAGGGATGAGCCTGAGCGGTAAGAAGGCTGTGTGGAGACAAGCAGATAAGAAAGCAATCTGGTCAAGAAGGCACAGATCATGGGCAGTCTTGGAGGTCTGGAAAAAGAATTTAGGGGTGAACTGCTGGTCAATAAGGAGCCTGTGAAAGTTCTAGAGAGGTATTGCGATGATGTGGAGTGAATGGCATTTGCTGCTTTACAGCAGAAGGCAGGAGGGACTCCTTCAGGCCCAGGAGTTTTATTTTGCTCTCCCAGGCTCCTGGCTAACCCTCAGAATATGAAGCAGACAAAGATCTAGGACAATCTCCCCTCACAGACTTTGGGAGTCTGAGGGTGGTTCTCGCTGGCTTCTTGGGGCAGGGGACCTCGGATCAGGATCTGCTGGACCTGGGATGTCCCTGCTAGCTGCCTCCTCAGGAAGACAACCCCACAGGGACACTCTGCCTCCTGTCTCCACAGGGAGAACTTCCTGGTCCTTGATGTCTTTTTTGAAGCCCTGACCTCTGAGGCCATGGAGCAGCGAGCAGCCTATGGCCTGTCAGCCCTGCTGGGTGAGATGCCGCCCTGACCCAGTTCCGGGGGGATGGAAGTGGGGATCAGCCTGGCCAGTGCTTCTGACCTGCTCTCATACTCCTCAGGAGATCTCGGGGGACAGATGGGCCTCTTCATTGGGGCCAGCATCCTCACACTACTGGAGATCCTGGACTACATCTATGAGGCAAGAGATGGGGGGCCTGGTAGGGACCCCCCCAGAGGGGGTATGGAGGGTGGGAGGAGGGGCTATGGAACAAGCAAGGGGGCAGTACAGGCTTCCTGGTGCAGCTGGCCTGGCCATGAAGCCAAGCTTGGGGTTTTTGGCTAGGGTCTCCTGACCAGCTGGAAGGCAGGCGTGAGGGTGCTGAGGAGTTAGGAGAAAGGGATGGGCGGGGAGGATTAGGGAGTCCTCCTGGGGGTTTGCTGGGGCAGCAAGTCCTACAAAGTGGGCCTTGGTGAGGCCTGCCCTTCTCCTCTACCAAGTTTCCTGAGCCCACTGCTGTCCCCCCACCCTGAACCCCAAGGTGTCCTGGGACCGACTGAAGCGGGTGTGGCGTCGTCCCAAGACCCCCCTGCGGACCTCCACCGGGGGCATCTCCACCCTGGGGCTGCAGGAGCTGAAGGAGCAGGTGAGGGTGAGCTCTGCTGAGCGCAGCCAGGGCTCTCTCCTAGGACTGAAGGCCTCGGCCACTTCTGACCTAGCCTGTCAGAGCTCGGCTGTAGCCCCTGCCCCAGGGCACAAGGCAAGGCTGGCTGTGTGGGGCCCAGGAGTCTGGCTTGCATTCTCCATGTCTCACTCCCTCTTCACTTTGTAGAGTCCATGCCCGAGCCGGGGCCGCGCTGAAGGTGGGGGAGCCAGCAGCCTGCTCCCCAACCACCACCACCCTCCTGGCCCCCGAGGAGGCCTCTTTGAAGACTTTGCTTGCTAGGACGGTGCTGTCTAAAAAGACCCAGGGGTCTGGGAACCCTCCCAGTATCCCCAACAGTCTCCTCCCTCCTGGGACACAAGGCCTGGGGGCAGCCCGAGGGAAGGGGGAGAGGGCAGAGGGCGGTCCTCACTGGGAGGGTGGGGATTCAGTTCAGGCTCTCACCAGCTCTGGCGCCAGCTGCTTTGCACAAGGGTCTTTCTTGCCCACCCCCCCCCCCCAACCCTCAGGCTGGTGCCCAGGGAGGGCTGGAGGGGAGGGAAGGAAGGGAGTGAGGGAGGTGGAGGAAGGGGCCCACCCTAGCAGGGGTGGAACCCCCTGTACATTTGTATATATTTAGGGAGGACAGGGTGGGGGTGGGGGAACAGATGTAGAAGGTGGGTGGGGCTATGGGGGTGGGTGATTCAGGGACAGCCAGAGTCCCAGCCCTTGAATGTCAGCAGGAGAAGGAGAACCCCAGGGACTCAGGAGTGCTGGACTGGTCCTACTTCCTTTCCCTCTCCAGGCCCAGCTCCCCTTTTGGCAGGGGGACTGGGTGGCCCAGCAGGCCTGGCCCAGCTCCCATTTCCCCCTGCCCCAACCCCACCTTCAGAGTCTCCTCCACAGGGAGCAGGCCGACCCATTAGACCTTGGCTGAGCTTGGGGGTGGGGAAGGGAGCCTTCTCGATGGGCCTCTCTGCCTCTGGTCTGGTTTTATAAAGCGCTGACGAAACTGAGAATAAAGAGGCATAAAGAATTCTCTGTGTGCCTGTGTGACCAAGCTGGGGCAGGGCTGGGCACAGGCATGGCTTGGTCCCAGGGAAAAGGAAACCTAGGCCTCCGCCAGCCAGGACAAGGGAGCCTCCATCCTCACAGCCAGCCTTCCCCGTCCCCAGGCCACCTTTTGAAAACTCAAAACTACGAATCTACACTCAACCAGTTTATTAAAGGCAGGGAGCTTCATCCAGGTCCAGAAGGGAGAAGTTGGGAGACACCCCGCTTCTTCTCTCAGCTCCCCTCTTCCCCAACCCCTCATCTACAGCCCAGCCCCCAGGAGGCCCTAGGAGACCAGACTGGCGTCAGGCAGACTGCACTGTATAAATACTCAAGAGGCCACAGCCCGAATCAGCAGCGTCCAAGGGAGGGGGGTCGGACAGGGAGACCAGGGCCGGGACAGGGAGGGGTGGCTCCGGAGGCACCTCCCCCCGGGGCCTGTCCTGACCCTGAGGACCCACAGAGCTAGAGAGAGGGGGCCCGTGGGCGGCTCTGGGGTCTGAGGCTGCAGCTAGCCCTGTCTGGAGAGGCTTGGCAGGTGGCTCGGGTTGTTGGGGAGGAAGGGGCATGCTGTCATGCCAGGATTCTGGGGTGCGGGGCGGGCTCAGGTGCTGTTGCCCTGCTCCTGCTCAAAGAGCAGCATGGCTAGCTGCGTGCGGGAGCCCAGGCCCTCCAGCTCGCTCTGGCGGCAGCGGTGGTATAAGTCCTCACTGAGCCGTGCGCTGCATGTCTGGGCCCGGTAGCGCTGCAGCAGCGCGGGTTCCACCGCCCGCAGCACGTGCAGGCTGGAGAAGCGCAGGAACAGCTCATACACGTCCAGGCTCTCCAACAGCTCCTCCTCCTGCTCCGAGGCTGCTGCCAGCCGCCCGCGGGCCGCCACGTAGTCGGAGTTGTAGAAACAGGCCTCACTGGCTGCCTGGCGGTCAAAGCGGCCCGTGTCTCGGCCCAGCTCCGGGGGTCCAGGGCCCTGCGGGGGGGCCACGGCCGGGTGGAAGGCCTGGAAGTGCATGGGGAAGAAGGCCTGCCAGCCTGAGATGGCATGCATGCGGCAGCGGTTCAGGAAGTCAGGCGTGAGCACTGTGTCTGGCCCGGCCAGCAGGAACAGCGTATCCAGTGGGTGCTTCTTGGAGAGCAGATCCATGAGGCGCAGCGGGGAGGGTGCGGCTGTCTGCACGCTGAGCCAGGGCACCCGGGCGCCGGGGAACCGCCGCTCCATTTCGGCCACATGGGCCTTGACAGGTGCAAAGACATCGGCGTGGGCTGCCCGCTGGGCCTGTCGGGGCTCATACAGGAGCAGCAGGGTCAAGGCTGCCGCTGCATCGCCAGGTTCCAGTGCTGCGGCGGCAAAGGCCTCCAGGAACGCAGGGGCCAGGTCACGCTCGGCTGCAGCCAGAGGCAGTAACACGGTGAGACGTGAGGCCTCCGTGACATAGGGCACAGGCAGGATCTCCACACGGCTCAGTGGCCGCAGCAGCTGCACGCGGCGGGTGAGGGGCCGGCGACCGCCCTGGGGGGTCAGCGCCTCCAGCTGCAAGTCCAGTGTGTACTCCATGCCCCGGGCGGGATCAAAGCGTCGGTAGCCGTTAACCAGCTGTTGCTTCTGGAGCCGCAGGGCTGGATGGTAGCGACGATTGAGCTCTTCCAGGGCTGCCCCCAGAACGTCAGCCACATCGGCCCGGTCGGCCCCTCGCAGCGGGCAGCGGGGCGAACCATCAGCACAGGAGAAAGCGTGCTGCTCTGTGAAGTAGTCCCAGCGCAGCACCTCAAAGCGGGAGGCCGGGCGGGAGGGTGCAGGGATCCCCACAGGCCAGGCGGCTGCGCGCTCCCCGTCGGCCGCCAGATGGCTGGTGTTCTGGATCTCCCACTAGGTTGGAGAAACAGACCATGAGTAAGGCAAAGACCATGGGGGGGCCAGCACACAGCTGGAGGACTAAGCAGCTGGCCAGCACTACTTGGGATGGGTCCCCACTCCCCAGCCAACCTCTGCTATCTCAGGGCCCCACCTAACATTTCCCCAGATTGGGGCAGCCTAAGAGTGAAAAGGGAAGTTTCCAGAGGAGATGCTCAGAAAAGGCAGAAACAAACAGGGACTGGGAAGCTGGTTTGTTCTTGGACTCTAGTGCTAGCTTTTTTGTTGTTTAAGATTTTATTTATTTATTTGAGAAACAGAGTGTGAGTACACAAGCATAAGCAGAGGGAGAGGGGGAGAGAGAGAGGGAGAAGCAGGCTCCCCACTGGGCAAGGAGCCCAATGTGGAGCTCGATCACAGGACCCCAAGAACATGACCTGAGCCGAAGGAGCACACCCAACTGACTGAGCCACCCAGGCGCCCCTCTAGTGCTAGTTTTTACTTCCCTGGGATCTGTGAGACGTCTCAGGACCTGTCCCCTCTATCCCTGGGGCCCCAGGCCATACCTGTAATTCCTGGATCTCCTGGTATGTGCGTTCCAGCTCAGCTCGGGCAAAAGCTTTGTGCAGCTGATACATATGTATGGGGTCATGCACAGGGTGGGCTGTCAGGGCACTGCGGAAACGGGGGTCTCCTTCCTGCACATGTTCCCCAGGGCTCAGCTCCAGGAAGTTATAGTGGACTCCCTGGAGAGAGGAAGGGTAGGGTCCATAATGGAAAGAGGGATGAGATAGCCTCCCCACCCATCCCACCCCCACTGTGTGCCTCATCTTCCCATCTTATGACCTGTTGTGGATCTGGGAGTCCACAACAGGATTACTGGGTTTAAGTCTACTTTGACCAGTTGTGAGCTTGTGTGACTTTGGGCAAGCTTCTGCTAGCTCATCTATGAAATGGGCATACGTATCCTACCTCAGAGCTGTTCAGGGGCTCAAAGAAAATAATAATAGCCAACACTGAACACCCACTATGTGCAAGGCTCCCTAATTTTTTCTAATCCTTATAACAACCGTAAGCAATAATTATTTTCATTGGTCTGGAGGAGGATACTGAAGTTCAGGAGATGCAGTGGTTTACCCAGGTTACAGGGATAAATAAAATTACCCCAGGTAACAGGGATAGAAATTGACAGCCCTGGCATGGAAAACCCAGGGCTATTATTTCCAACTACCCCCTCGCCTCTGAGGGGCAAGTGTACAAGCTCAGACAGGAGGTGCCCGTGGGGCGGCTTATCTGCCCACCTCGTGGTCACCCGTGCAGCCCACCCCGGTGGCATCCAGTATGCAGCGCCCCAGCCACTCATCCGGGCGCGCGCTGACAATGTCGTTGCGGCAGCTTTCCAGGTGGGGGCGCAACTGCTGCAGCAGTGTGCGAGACAGCAGCACCCCAAAGCCGCCATGGCAGTAGCGGCCTGGGGCGGGCTCCCCCCCGATGAAGTCCTGCGGCCGGCCCAGATAGAGGTGGGCGGCGGCTGCCAGGCTGAGACGGCCAGCTAGGCGAGCCAGTCCATGGGCTTCGGTGTAGGTGGCATCCGGCACTATGAAGAACCAGTCAAAGTCGTCACCGTGTTGTTCCAGTAGGTGGCGCAGAGCCAAGTGCAGGTGCCCGATGGGCCGCTCCTCGCCCAGAGTCACCACGGCCATGCCCGGCGGTGCCCGGCGGCCCCGAGAGCCGGTCAGGAACACCACACGCTCTAGCCGGTGCCCCAGCGTGCGGTTCACGGCCACACCCAGTGTGGGCAACGTGGCTTGTGAGGTCAGCACCGCCACAAGCAGCCTCTGCCTGATGCCCAGCTCTGTGCTGATGTATCGGGTCCTGGGGGAGAAGAGGGAACAAGGTTATCCAAAAGGCAAGAGGGCGGGCAGGAGAGAGCATACACAGGCTCTGGCAGGTCCCATCCTCTCTGGGCCTGTTTCTTTCCCTCCACATAGATAAGAACAACAACTCTCTCTTAGGAGTCATGAGGGTTTACCTGAAATACTGGCCTTACCTACACAGTGCCTTGGGGAGATGGCAATATCCATGCAGAAATGAGAGATACACTGTGGGTCTGATTCTCTGTCTCACCACTTAGTTGTGTCCTTGAGCAAGTAATTTAACCTACTGCAACCTCACTCAGTGGCCTGCGCTGCAAAAAGGGGTTGATTGCATCTAATCAAAGCACTTAGCCAAGTGCTCAGCACACAGGTACCCCCATACCACGTATAAATATGCCATGATAATGATAATGCCATGATACCACAAATACATCACACAAAGGATGTAAGGGAATACATGGCATAGGAATGCACTGAGTGTGTTTGGAACAAGGGCAAACTGGGGCTCAGGGGTTCCAGTAATTTACCTTCCATAATGCAGAAGGTAAGTTGCAAAACTGAAATCTGAACTCGAGGTTACTTAGGAGAAAATAATTTCAAGTCATGGGCAGAGGCATTAATGGGATAGTACCTCACCCCTCCCCCACAAATCTCATCCTGAAGTGTCCCACCCCGGAACAAGAGAAACAGGTAAATCCTAGTTTTCTCTTTCCTCTTTCCCTCTCTATGCACCCA